TCTGTCCCCATGCCTGCCCCTGCCGCCGGGCAGGTGTGGTCCTCCATCGCTAGGACATCACCTTCCCTCCTGCTGCATCTTCTATTTGCAGTTTTGGAGAGCTTCAAAGGTCTTAAAAAGCCTTAGAAGATCAGGTATTTATTAAACTTATTTATGTTACAGTCCTGCTAGGCAGCTGGAGCATGCTGCCTTTGATTTATTTAGAATCACAGAATGGTTTGGGTGGGAAGGGACCTTCAGAGCCCACCCAGCCCAACCCTTGGCCATGAGCAGGGACAGCTTCAACCAGCCCAGGGTGCTCAGAGCCCCGGCCAACCTGGCCTGGGATGTTTCCAGGGATGGGGCCTCCACCGCCTCTCTGGGGAACCCATTCCAGTGCCTCACCACTCTCATTGTAAAAAATTTCTTCCTTATATCCAGTCTAAATCTATTCTTTAGTTTAAAACCATTACTCCTTGAACTATTTGTGACAATGTCTTGAAGCGTGTCCTTTGACAAGTGCCTACACAAGCTGCTGGCCTGTCCCAGCATGGACATCTGGCTGCTGTCTCCAGGGGCTGCAATGCTGGCCAAAGCAGGAGTCTTCTCAGGACAAATAAGTGCCTAAACCAGAAAATGATGGGTTTTACTCTCAGATGGCCCTCCTTCTGGGCACAATAAGCCCTAAAGTAAGGCTCAGAGGTGCTCAATTTATTTTTTTCCCACCCAGTTCATCTTGAGAGCTTTACCAACTCCATTTGCTGGAGCTACATAGGAGCCCAGACCTTCTTCATGCTGCAAACCACAGCCTCAGGACCCTCCCTGAATTCTAGACAAAAGCATGTCCTGCTTGCTTGCTTACCGTCCCACATCCTCAAGTGACCTTTTCTGCCCAGCCTCTTTCTTGCCCCCTTCCACCCCGCTGCAGGAAATCCAGATCTGGCTGGATGCTCCCTCCTAAGTTTAGCCTCAAGCCAAATCTCAAAACAGATCTACATACTCCTGCCACCATAAAATCCCCCTTGCAGGCAGGGATTATTTATAATGGGAACTAAAAGCCTCAATACTGCGGTCTCAGAAACAGCTAATTCTTCTAGCCGGGCTGGCTGGACATGGGTTTGTGCCCAGGACGTGGCTTGACATGTTGGTTGAGGTCTGGTCTGCTCAGTTCACCAGCGAGCCCGTGGGTGCCAGCTGGTGCACATCTGGCTGCAGCCTCCAGCTGTTGTCCCGCTGCGGGCAGGACTCCTGTGGTGCCACAGGGCAGGAAAAGCAGCAGGAAAGGCAGGCATGTGATGAATTATTAAAAAAAGGTTCCATGTAGCACTCACTGCTCAGGATTGATCCAGCCAGATGTTTCTTCAAGCTGATCTGGGCACTGAAAACCCAGTTGGTGCTGGTTTTGGAGTGAAGCTGCTTTCCAAGGTGGTGAAAGCTCCACGTCTCCGTTCGGACGCCAGCACCACCGTGCTGTGGCTGTGCTCTGCAGGGAGGAAGCAGTTACAGCGGCTTTTCCAGAGTCCTCCTCACCACGCGCATCACACAGAAGGCAGCAGAGCTGCCGTGGCATTATGGAAATTTTTACCTAGTTTTGTTTTTCTACTTTTGCTAATATATAATGCTACTTTAAAAAACAAACCAGCCTTTGCTGTGTCTGTGTCTCGTGTTGGGGGTGCACATAAGCGTGGAGAGGTCCTCTCCGGACCTTGCTGCAGGGGATGTTGGACCTTGATCTGCTGCTTTGCGAGCGAACTGCTGTGCAGCTTCCTGGCAGGATGTGACCTTGCCTCCTCCCCTCTCCTTTGCAACTCCATTTTCCTGTTTTCTTAGATTTTCTACCCATTCCGGTTCTACCCGCCCCCAATCAAGCTGTTTGTTTAATTGAGCAGGGTTTTTCCCTTTCTCCGGCTGGAGGGTGGGCAAAGATAGGACACAGATACGAACGGGCACGGGACTCCACATCTCCTCCTTTCTCTCTTCCCCACGCTTTTCTCCTGCAGCCCCAGGACAAGTTGCCTGTTGGGATTTTGCAGAAGGGTCTGCATCCAGCATTTTTGTAGCTGGGGCCACCTCAGTCTGCGGGACCTGGGCACGTCGATGTGGCATGAAGGTAGCAGTGAGTTGGGTGAGTTGGGTTGCTGCGGGCAAGTAGCAGCTCAGGAGAAGCGGAGATGGCAAGCTGGGACGTTGGCAGCCCTTTGGGGTGGGGATGCAGAACTTTACTGGCCAAATTTCTGTGCTAGGCAGCGGATGCTGGGAGGAAGGATTGGTTATGTCTTCCCTGTCCCATTCCCTCTTGTCAGAGTGGGAACCTGGCTTCACTGGGGGGGTGGCTGGTGGTAGCTGCCCCTGTCCCCCACCCCCTGACCCAGAGCAGGCTGAGTGATGCTGAAGCAGGCAGTAGTGCCTGCTCACCCTATCCCCAAACCAGGACCAAAACAGGTCTGGGACAAGGAAGTCCTTTCCCTCCCTGACCAGGAGCATTCTCTTCCCACCCCAGAGCCTTCCCTTTAGGTTGGAGGGGTCCCATGAAAGGGGCCGTGTCCCATATAACTCGGACTGAGAGATCTGATTTTAGCAACCTGGAGAAGAAACACTAACATGACAACGATCAGTAAACCTACATGCTAAATTAAGACTGGTAATATTTGGGGTAGATTTTGAGCATTTGCTGCAGATAGTAAGAGCACCCAACCCTAACATCTGAGGTCAGGCAGGTTGGAAAACAAGCCACCAACCCAAGGATCACAGTGCATGGTGTTGTGCTTGGTGGGAATCTCGCCTCAGATGCTCTACTCAAAGCCACAGGAGTACTGACCTTGGCTCTACGCCCTATGGTTGCAATCCTATGTGCCGTAATCATTTGTATTGACTACAAGAATCAAATGCTTACTAAGTCAAGTGATGACTATCCAAATTATGAGCTGCCCTCAAACCTGTGCTGGTTATCACAAGGCAAGATCAGGCAGGAAAAGCAAACGCATTAAGGGTTTGCTGCTCTGTCCTGGTCCAGGGCCTTGCAATACAAATATTTACACCATCCTTGTTGCAGTTGTGAGCGATGAGTGTGTTTCACCCGATAAATAGAGGGTTGCTGCTGTTAACAGCAGACCATAGGCTTTGTCCTAACTAAACTTGGGCTTAGCAGGAACTGTCTTGAACAGCCATGGGCCTGTTTTAGCTGTAACTGCAAAAATTGAAAAGGGTCATGAAATGGTTGGGAGGGCTATATCCTACAGCTTAATGCTAGCTCTCTGGTGGCATGGGTTAACTGTAGATGGTCAAGGTCCAACAGCACTGAGCAGCCCTTGTGAAACTATCCCATGGACAAGGCAGAAAAGAAAATATGACCAAATGGACAATTTTAAGAAAGTAGAGAAATACTCTTGGGCACAGGAGGCAGGCGTGCCCAAGGACTTTCAGACCTCAGCGCACATCCATGATGCACAGAGGGCCTGGAGCTGCACCTGGAGGAGGTGCCTGTGGAAATCCCAGATGGATCGAGGAGTGGCAAAGAGAGGGGGAACTCTGGGGACAGCACCAGAGGGAGCATAATGGCTGGGGTACAGATGGGGGTGGGGGTGTGGGTGTGGGGGCCGTGTTCCCATGGCTTTGCTCCCTGATGATGGGAGATGGTCACCGGTGAGATCCCGCTGTGATCCCCCTCACATTCTCCTTGGGAGCAATGTGAAATGAGGTGAAATAATGTGGATTATCTGTCCTTAAAGACTTACAGCCTGCGTGAGAGCCCTGTTGCACCCAGGGTACAAGTCCTGCATGCTGGGTACAATCATAGAATCATAGAATCATTTAGGTTGGAAAAGACCTTTAAGATCATCCAGTCCAACCATTAACCTAGTTAAATCTAAAGCCCTGTTTGGAGTAGGAGGACTGTCCAGCTGCAAATCACAGCCCCAGATACCCCTCCCCACCCTTCCCATCTCTGTGAAGGGGGGAACTCAAGATGCCCCAATGACCAGGTTGCCCAGAGAGGTCGAGGAGGCCCCATCCCTGGAAACATCCCAGGCCAGGTTGGACGGGGCTCTGAGCACCCTGGTCTGGTTAAAGCTGTCCCTGTCACTGCAGGGGGTTGGGCTGGATGACCTCTAAAGGTCTCTTCCAACCCACAGTGTTCTATGATTCTACGACCTGGTGCACACCCAGACTTTTCCCCAGCGCTGCCAGACAGAAGAAGTCGTGCCAGGGAGGTGTTTCTCCCCATAGCTCCTTGTTCCTCAGCCACCAGAGGGAGATGCTGCTCAAGGCCACAACAGCAACGCCTTGTTCCAGAAGCTGCGTGCCCGTCCACCGCCCGGGTTACGGGAGGAGATTGGATGCACAGGACTGATGCTGCTGTGGCATCGCAGATGGGAGCTGGTGGGAGGCTCTGGGATACTGGAGGTGGCCGATACGGTGCACGGCAAGTGCCTGGAGGAATGTGGCCATGGTTGCAGCAGGCTCTTTCCACCTCCCCCAGCATCACCAGGCCATGGTGAAAGTTTGGGAGCCCCTGCCAGTGTCTCGCCAAGGTAGTATTCAGGGCCAGGAAGGCTGATATCCACCTGCAAATATCCCATGGTGACTTCGGGTCCAAAGGTGGGTGTGCAAGGGGAGCTGCCACTGACCACGTTGGACGCGGCACAGGAACCTGCTGGTTTGGTAGAACCAGCTCCAGCTGTCACCACCACGGTGCTGAGTCCTGATATTCGGCGGCGTAGCCATGGCGCAGTGCAGGTGTGCCTGGGCAGGCGACGTGGTCACTCCCTGCCCTGGTCTGTCTTCACGTCAACCCGCAGAGCGCAGAGGTGCCACAAAGCCCAGGTCCTTGCTCTCCATGGAGCTACGTGGTCCTGGGCCACTCCAAACCCAGGGCGTGAAGCTGCACGAGAAACTGCAGCTGGGGAAAAGCATGGTAGAGGGGTGGC